AGTATATAAACCACAAAGATTTCAGTGTGCCCCTGCACTTGGGGGTTTTGACAGCTCCCTGCTCAGCAGCCCAGGAATCACTGGAAGATGTTCATGACTGTGAAAATACTTGTTTTTGCTCTGAGTGGATTCCTAAGAACAGCAACAGGCTTTGACATTGGATTATCCACGAAATGTGTAGTGATACCCAAGGAGATGGACATGTGCCACAAAATTGGGTACTCCGAAATGAGGCTTCCCAACCTGATGGGACAGACAAGCATGGCAGAGGTTATCCTAAAATCCACCACCTGGCAGCACCTTACGCACACTGACTGTCACCCTTACGTGAGGACATTCCTGTGCTCCCTGTTTGCACCCATCTGTTTAGACACGTAAGTACCACAGCACAGTAAAAAGCTCCAGCCTTTATTTGCCAGAACAGGGATCAAATGAAATGCATGTTTATCATAATCTAAAGGTGTGCTCCACTTTATCTGAAATAATCCCGTTAACCTTTTCATACTCATTGGAAAGAAAAGTACTGAAAACATGTTCCACTTCAACTTTAGCTTGCTTTGGGGAAATGAATGCTGTTGTAAAAAAAATACTATGTTTTATTTTGTTACATTTGAAACTCTATTCTTGTTAATTTAGGGTTGAAGCACCTCTTATGAATAGAATCAGGTTCTTGCTGAAGCTTTTCTCGGGTTGTAATAAAAGCATTTTTGAAACTGTGACTTAATCCTGTAAACACAGTCCAGTCCATGTACAGATCACTTGCATAGTTTGCACAGCTGCTGCTTCTAGAACAACATTATTGTTGAAGGATGTTAAATATCAGCAAAGATTATGGAATTTGCACAGAAACCACTGTTGCAATAGTTTCTGTTATCACTGAGTGAGTTTAACTGACTCAGCCTGGGATTTCCCCCCCGCGACAGGTTTATCCATCCTTGTAGGAGTATGTGCATTGCCGTCCGTGAGAGCTGTGCCCCTGTGCTCGCCTGCCACGGACACCCCTGGCCTGACACTCTGAACTGTGACCGATTCCCTGCGGACGAGGACATGTGCCTGGCATCTCTTACAAAGGAATATAAATACTTGCACAAAGGTAGCTGGAAGACGGCAGAGGGAGGGGTGGCCGTACTCTGTGTTCCTGGGAATAAAGGAGGTACAAGAGACACCATTCCCAGACAGTCTGTGGTTTTGTAAATGGGGTTGTGTCTGTTGCTACTGCTTCACCCTGTTCATACAGATGGCAGGGAAAAGCACTTGTACTTCCAGTGTAAACTGCAGCAGACCTCAGATGGTATAAATCAGCATTGCTTCAAAAAAAAAAAAAAAAAGTGTAATCTATGCTTAAATAGTGGAGGAAAGCGACTATCACCCCACACAGCTATGGGCAGTATCATATCCACGACTGTACACTATGTTTGATTTGAGTTCTCTTTATAGACTTATCAATGGCCCTTATCACAGATAAATTTACATATACAATGAATTGGTTCTCAGATCAGTTTAGAAAAGTTGGGATGATTTATTCTCTGATTTTCCTTAGGGGAATCTGAGTTACCATTACATTAATGTTCAGATCTTCAGATGCACTCGGGCTTATTAACTTCTGAAGAAAACACTAGGAATCAGTTGCTGCTATCACACACAAATTCATATATTCACAACCCTAGTGCAGCTGCACCCAGAGTCACTGATTTAATCAGCCACTCAACCCCTTTCCCACCCACCGTAGCCATATTAAAAATAATACTGCATTTGTTACTGTATTTGATGCTGATAATCAAGTTTGTCAGTCTGAACAAGGACAGAATGCACATGGAAAATGAAATTCCTTTTCATCCCTAGCCATGTTTTTAGAGAAGTGTGTAGACTTTTTACGTTATAACTGACCAACAGTGTATTTTCTCTGTCATAGCCGTGGTTAAACAGTGAACACTCAGCTTTAACAGCAGAAAGTTAAAAAAAAATATTCTAAAAGATAATGATGAGACTTTGTCATTTCTTACCAGTCCTACCAAAGCCTGCCTGCCAGACGTGTCCAGCAGTGGAGGAATTTTTTACACACAAAAGAGTTCTTGAAGTTTTCTGTGACAGTAACTTTGGTAAGTCCTTGCTAATGCAGCTGCTCTTAAAGTCTAACAACTCTCCTTCTAAAAAGCTTTCAAATTAGAATTACAGTAAGTGACAGTTTCTGCTGGGATTTCAAAGGATTATGAGTTTAGCTGCTGACAACTTTAGGTTGTTTTTCAGAATATATTCTTACGAATCAAAACATAAGGAGGATTTATTTTGCATGAAATATTTATTAATGATCTAGTTTACAACCAAATAGCTCTTCTGTTATTGTCTAGTTGTCTACATTGTAGTAGAACATGCTTTATGGAAAACATTTCTGACAAAATCAGACAAATAAGCAGGTTTGCCTTTTATTAGTGGTTAAACCCAAAGTAAAGCTTTGGTGTTTTACCAGTGAATAGTGTGTCCTTGTTATTTGTGTGCATGAGTTTTTCGTGATATATTGATACATAGCTTACTGAGAAGGAGACTCAGAATATCACCAGTAAAAGAGATTCTTATCTCATGTTGTCTTATTGCAGTGACAGGCAGTACTTTTGAGTTTGCCCTAGAAACTTCCTAGAAAGCTCTTTGACGTCAGTGCAGACTCCTGGCGACTTTGACTGGTGTTAGATCAAGTGGTATAGAGAAATTTCATGCTAAAAAGTGTTGAGGGAGTCAAGTGGGGTAGGTAGATGCCTACAATGAAAAGGGAATATATCTAAAAGGGTGATATCAGCAAGCATTACAAGCTATTTTTGTTGAGGGGTTCCTGCCATGGACAAAGTGAGTTTCAGAACTGCTTGGGCAAGTTGGGCAGCCCGTGATACAGGAGTAACACCAACAGCTTACAATACCTAATTATCCAAAAAGTCTGACATACATGGTGATGGTAAAAATACATTACTCACTTTTGTGAAAATATTTTTTCCTAGTTGCCTAATTCCATTAAAAAAATATTTACTACATAACCTTTATTTTTATTTATTTATTTTAAAAATGTATACTGCTGCTTGAGAAGGCCTTGCCATACTCTATCAGCATAAATTATGACAGTATTTTTAAGGAATCATCCTGCTTTCACTGGTAGTGTTTCTTTCTGTATTTGAGTAAATGGAGTGGCTTACGTGTTTCCTTTTTTTCCCTTAGCAGTAAAAGTAAAGCTGTCCAAGAAGAGAACAGTATTTGGTGACCAAGAGTATAACATTGAATGCCAAGTGGAATTCATTACCCAGGGCTCACTCTTGCCTTATGAAACTCAGAGTATGATACAACAGTGGCTGCTTATCAATGAAAACTGTACACAGAGGATGACTCCTACTCATCGTCCCATGGTGTATCTCCTTGTGGGGAATATTGAAGAGGGCATCATTTTAGTAAACCAGGTTTATCGTTGGCAGAGGAGGGACTCCCAGCTGACTTTGGCCACTCAGAAGTGGAGACACCATAAATGCTTGTAAATATTTATCATATTATTTGTAAAACATTATTACACTTCTCATGCCAAACCTATCTTGTAAATAGGAATGTATTATAAATGGAATGTAAAGTCTTAATTTCCTTTTAAACTGTATTATAAATTGAATTTAAATCCCAGTGTTATCAGGCCTCCTTTCTGTGCTGTTACAGCTATTCACATCAAATTTGAATTTGTCCACCTATGTATAATTGTTTTTTTGAGTTATTGCAAAAAAATTTTGTAATATGTACAAAGACTGGCATAAAGCAGTTTTAATCCAGCTGACTACCTTTAATGTATTTTTCTATACCACCTACTCTGCCATTTTCTCCAGTCACCTAAACTTTGCTTAATGTTTCATTAATCTGGCTTATTTTCTCCCATTAAAATATTTTAAAAGAAGGCAGCCCTCTGCTGGTCGCTTTTGCTGCAGTCACAGTGGAATAAATAGGAATATGTAACTGTAAACACTATTTGGTTGGCCTCAGCCACAAGAAGATCTGATTACTGGACATCATTTTACTATGACAAATCTGACACAGTCTCAGTGGTAACACCTGAGAGCATAGGCTAAAAGCAGGTTTGGGAACTTTTTGCTCTTGTGTGACCATCTTGAATGTAACACGGTTCAACTGGAATTTAAATCAGGTCCCTGCTACTGAAAAGTCCCTTTTCATTTTCAGACACATTACAAAAGCTAACATACAAATTTTAGCAGTTGTCTAAGTGGTCAGCAGGGAACTAATAGAGGTATAACATTTGAGAAATGCGAAATATTACAGTGGCCACATGATTAGCATCTTCATTGTCACTGCAATACACTGACATTAAAGACAACATGAAGGTAGACAGAACTTGATTTAGTTTTATGAGTATGTATAATAGGCACAAGAACAGGTAATTGGTAACGCATAAATCAGAAGCTATTTCAGTATTACCATGTCTATCATCATAGTATTTTTTTAAAAAAAGTATGGGAAAAGTTTATGGCCAGTAGCTTTATAAAAGTCCCATCTGTAATGATTTGGTTTCCAAATATGGCCCCCCTAAGTGCAGGTTTGGATGCATCCTCCTGATGACACCAGCTCCATCACTTTCCACCATGAACTGGAAAACTAGCAGGAACTGAGGGGAAAAAAAAAAAAAAAAAAAAAAAAAAAAAAAAAAAAAGATGAAACAACCTGTATTCAGCTTATATTGTATAACGACGTCACTGCTTAGAAAAAAGCAGGTTGTTCCAAAGCTCCGTTCAGTTGATCCTGCCGAGTCTGTGCCGGTCCCTGCAGGAGAACCGGTCAATATTTAAAGAAGCCTGAATCAAATGCAGGCGTTCAAATTCCGCCCGGGCCGCTCGGGGCCGGCCGCGGGGCGGGGCGGGGCGGGGCGGGGCGGGCCGAGCCGAGCCGAGCCGAGCCGAGCCGAGCCGAGCCGAGCCGAGCCGAGCCGAGCCGAGCCGAGCCGAGCCGAGCCGAGCCGAGCCGAGCCGAGCCCGCACTCTCGTCCTCGCTGCCTCCGGGCGCTGAGGCCTGCCCGCGGCCGGTTTTGGTGCCGGGGGCGCGGCCGTCGGCCGGCTGCGGCGGCTCCGTGGGAGGGCGCCGGGGGCTGCCGGGCTCCCACGGGGGGCGGCAGGCGGGCGGGCAGGCGGGCAGGCGAGGAGCGGAGCGGAGCGGGCCAGGAGCGGAGCGGGCCTGCGGCAAGGCGCTCTGCGGCGGCTCCGGTGAGGCGGCCTAGGGGGCAGCCGCGCGCTGCGGTCCTCTTGCTAAGCATCGGTTTCTTTGTTTCTCTTAAATGTCTCTCTTGGGTTTCTGAACGTTTTAAACACAACAGATCCCTATAATAGTTCTGTCCGTATTGTCTACAGCCCTATTTTTTATAGATCTTAGCTCCGAGTTCTCCCCCGTAGCCGTTTCCATCAGCCGTGGCAGGTGAGTGTCCCGGTGCGGTGAGGAGGCCCGGGCAGGCCGGCGCAGAGGCCCTCGGCTCTCCCTGTAAGGCCCAGAGCGGGGGCTAGAGGGGCTCGGGGAGACATTGGACCTCTTCACCTGCACCAGAAATGCCTCCACCAAGGTTTTGAAAAATCAGATAATCGTGAATACAGCCTGTGTGCACCCAGCTTCGAGGTCTGTGCCATTAGCATTGAGCTGCTGCCTTGCTCCTCGGCCTTGTCAGGGCTCCTCCTAAGTGATTTTCTTTGATTTCATTCTGTAAGTACAAAGTCTAAAGTGCAGAACTGTCATGCAAACAGATATACTGTGTACCTATATTCTACCTAATACAGTATTAAGTTTGTTTCAATACATGTCTATTTCTTGCCTGAAATAATACGTCTTGGGAATCTTGTTTTGTCCTGTCTGTAGCAATGGCTTCAGGAACAGCACTGATTTATGATGAGGAGATGACCACTCATAAACTACTTTGGAATGAGTAAGTCACTGGTGTCCTTTTTATTAATTGAATCGTATTAGGACTTCTGAGAGAAATAGCAAGTGAATGCAGTTTTTGTAAACGTAATAGGAAATATCTATTTATAGATACCCTGTGATTCTCCTAGTAAATAGTCTCTTTTCAGAAAAAAAAAAAAATTATTCCCAGTTGGTATCCAGATGTCATAATGATAACCTGAAGCTGGATTTGAGAAGCTGTAGGCCTTAAGAAGTGCGAGCTTGAAGCATCTGAGTAGCTCCCAAAATAAAGTATTTTAAGCTAATTAAATTGCTTCTAAAGATCTTGGAAAAATATGTCAATAAACTCAGATGAAACACATCAACTAAATTCAGTTAGAAGCTGGTATATGCCACTTGCTTAAATTTACATGAATTAGACCAGTGCCTTTGCAGTGCTCAGCGTAACAATCCACTGTTGTCTTCTCTCCCAAGCCCACTTCTCTGTTCATCTTCATTACAATCTACAGCTTTTAATTTCACCATTCCTGTGTCTGTAGTTAAGCATTGCTACGTTTGGTGGTGAGAAAGGAAACAAAAAATGATGCTGTTGTGTTTCTTTTTTATGTAAGAACCATGTATAACTTTCTGCTTACATATTTCAGGACCAATTTTTGGCTCAATTCCAAAACAAAAAGGATTTAAAGATTTTATTTTTCTTTTACTGTCACATGTCCCTCTATGAGGGTAATGAATCTTCTTACAATGAGAAGTTAAAAGCTAGGCATTATGAAGTATATTTGTTAGCTGTGCTGGTATGGTATTATAGTAATATGATTATTGTTTATTTTTAGTCCTGTTTGTGATATTGAAGTGCCAGAAAGACTGTCATCCTCCTATGAGCAGCTTAAATGTTACCATCTTGTGGAAAGATGTGTCTGTGTGCCTGCCAGAGAAGGAAGCGAGGAGGAGATCCTGTTAGTTCACAGGTCTGAAACTTACTTTCATCATCATTCAGATTAATCAAATAACAGATCTCATACCTCCAGGTCATATTTTGCGCCGTTTGAAAAGGTCTGCCCCAAAACTCAATGACTTCCAGAAATTTGAATAGAAAATGTGTCACACTTAAAGTTAGACAAATTATGTTGGGTATGGTGTAGCTGCTGAAATACAAATCTGGTATTATACTAAATACCTGTTTCTTACTCTTTGGGTTCTTAAGCAATGAATGATGTTTTATATATAGGATTAAAAGTAAACTTACAATAAAAACTGGGACAAGACTTTAAAAAGTGTAGAAATATGGGTCTTTCTTTAGCAAGATAACATCCTCTTTCTCCCAAGCATCTTTGAGATAGCTGCAAAGTTTTTCTGTTTGGCTCACTCTAATTCTTGAGGGGGGGAAGTTAAGAGGAACAGCAGCCTGCCCATTCTGAAGTCATTGCCATGAATTCTGCTCTGATATTTGCCACCTTGGTGTGATGATTCTGCAGCCAATTTCAGATGATTCAGCCTGTTGCTTGTGTGCTCCTCTGCCCTTGTCAGAGATGGCAAGGGGAGTTGGGAGTAGAGTGTGATGGCAAGGCAGCGAGAGGCAGTGGCTTCATGGGCAAGGGCACAATCTGACAATACCCAAGTGAGGTGAGCAGCACAGCTCCAGTGATGGTAACTCAATTTAGCCATGAGCTTAGATTGCCCAACGAGGCCATAGTGACATGGCAGGTCTGAGGTCAAGCTGGAGAGTCAGTCTGCAGGTCAGGGTCCAGGTCCAGGTTAGCGGGGTTCATGGCCAGATACAGACATGGCTACACAACAGCTGCAGTGTAGCCAAGGGTGAGAGGCTTATTTTAACAGCAAGTGCCAAAGGAAGGAGGGGGAGCCTGTGCTGAGACTTCGTAGCAGAGCTGTTTGGAGGGATCCTCTGCAAAGGCTCCTTCTAGCTCTCTAAAGGTGACCACCTGTACTATCTCTGCTGGTTCTGAACCCAGCAGCCAAACCCCAGGAGCAAAGAGGTGTACCCAGGGCCCTGACACCTGTGATGAGGACCATATCTTAACCCCAAGTCATGCTTGAATTTTCACATTCCAGAACAGTATTTTTCCTAAGAACATAATTGTTTCTTAGGATGTAATTAGTGCTGTGTACCAATATAATTTATTTTCATAGTAAATACATCACTGATTGGGTATAGAAGAGGCTTGATCACTATTTCCAGTTGAGTTGTTTCTGCTGGATGACGGGACAAATCACTGAGTCTTATCTTGGTTTCCATAAGTAAGCTAGAGGTGATGGAGCTCTTTCCCTTCTAAAATGCTTTTAAATTGAAACAAATTTAAAACTCTTAAAAATATTTTGTTGGTGTTCACCGTTACAAGGCTGCTGCTGAAGTTATACTAGTAATTATACAGTCATTCAGGCTCATATGGTTTTATTCCTGTTAATGCCTTCATTTTGAAGCTACTGTTTAGCTTTATTTCCATTAGGTAGAACTCGTGTGTCTCATTTTGTTGTGAAATTCTGGTTGCTTTGTCATTGTCCACCTAGAGGAATGCATGTATGGCCATTGTAGCTTGGATTAGGACACAGGTGGGAGAGTAGATGCCATCAGCCTCCATTTCCAGCTCACTACACAAGGGCAGAAGAGCAGTGACAGAGAATTAGGGGAACATTGATGCTAGTGCTTTAGGATTTATTTCACTCCAACCAGAGAAAAGAGGGAGTTAGTACACACCTGATAAGAGATTAATTCAAATGCCTGTTTTTCATAGAACAGGGGAGGACTAGATGCACATTCTCAGAGTTACAATTCACACTCTGATGACTCTGAGAATTCTAGATTAGTTCTTGTTGGGATGGTATCTATAGGTAGTGTGGATTGCAAAACAAATTGCTGCATGATAAACACACAGCCTTTTTTTGAAAGCAAGACTACTTGTTCTTACTGCTAGAAAAGGGAGAAGAATGTCATATTCTTAAGACATCCAAGAACCCTTGCTTTCATAGTGCTCCTTATTTTTTTTCACTATATCCTGCAACTAGTGTTCCAGAGTACCTATTAGACTTGTGAAGTCTCACAGAAAGGCCCTTTTAACATATATTCTGTTAACTTTTAATTTCATTTTGTGTCAAAAAAACCCCTCTGTGGTTGCTTTTAAGTGTTGTGTTAATCTCTTTTTCCTCTGCAGTTCAGAACACTTGGAAGTGGCGAAAAGCACCCAGACAATGAATGAAGAGGAACTGAAAAGAGTCTCTGGAAATTATGATGCTTTTTTCTTTCATCCGGTGTGCAAGTTAAACTGCTTCCTCTATTGGGAGTTCCCAGTTTTTGTGTTATTGCATCTGAGTGACCCTTTTTTAAGTAGGGGAAAATTTGCAACACATTTTTTGCTATTTAAGTAGACTTGCATTTATTTATGATATTATTGTTATCTGTTTCAAGTTTAGTATAATGCTATAACTTAAATTCATTAAGTGTTCTGTCATTTATTCTGTAATCGTATCATGCCAGTATAGCATGCTACTCAATTTTTAGCTTAGTTTTTTTCACTTAGTGTCACTGCAGATCATTAGTGACCTGCACATCACATTTGGGTAACAGTTGCTGTTAAATGCTGTGTGAGATAATGGAGGTGAAGTCTTTTGTGTTTTGTTCCTGTAAGGTTTCATTCCTTATTTTCAAAGATGCCATGTTATTTCAGTAGTCAGTTCAATATGTCCATCTCACATTTTTTAACTGCTCCAGAGAGAATATACTTATGAAGTATAATGGTGATCACCACTAAACCTAGTAGAAAGCACATTGGAATCTATGCTGTAAAATTCTGCTTTCAACCATCTGCATACAGCCTCAGTTAGTAGAATTATGTCAAATCAGTTTGCTGTTGGGGTGCAAAGTCACGTCATCTGTGATTAATTTAAACCAAGCTGATGAATGTTGATGACAACTATGAGTTTCTCTTTTTTCAGACCACTTACCACTGTGCCAGGCTAGCAGTAGGAGCAACTTTGCAGCTGGTGGATGCTGTGATGTCAGGAAAAGTGTGCAATGGAATGTCATTAGTAAGGTAAGAAAATACATGAGGAAGTTTTCACTTCTTACCAAAATTTCTTTTGTTGTGAGTAACCATATACAACTTTGTTTTAGACCTCCAGGTCACCACAGCCAGAGAAATGCAGCTAATGGGTTCTGTTTGTTCAACAATGTTGCTATTGCAGCAGAATATGCAAAACTTAAATACGGTCTACAGAGGTAAGTGCATGGTTGACTCTAGAGAAACTTTTCATACCCAAGTATGGCATTTAGATAACAGTTTGGCATTGTACCAGTTTAGATTAACGTCTGGAGCTTTCTGGCTGTCATGTACCTTTTGGGCCAGAAAAACATGCAACTGTACCTCCTTTAGATGAAGGTGCTGTAATTTTTCCGCTGAATGTTTTCTTTTACTGATCTATGCAGAATCCTAATTGTTGACTGGGATGTGCACCACGGGCAAGGAACTCAATATATATTTGAAGAAGATCCAAGGTTTGAAGGAATTTTTTTTTTTTTTTTTTGTTAACTGGTTAAAGATTGCTTGCCTCTGTAGAGAATAAGATTTCTTAAATTTCTAAAACTATAATCTTACAAAGCATTCCCCTTGCTATTTTAGTCACTCTGTTTTTACTTGTTATAAAATAGAGGGAAAAATCTAACAAAAAAAGAAATATGTAAATCTGTTCTACTTTAAAGAATAGCAAACACAAAATAAGCAATATGATTACTTTGGCTTGCCAGTATCAAGATCTCTTTGTGCCAGTATTCAGATAATACATCTATCCTCTGATAGATGGAATCTCTCAGTTAAAGTATTCAAATAGTAGTTAGATAAAATACATGAGCTTTATATTGTTTTTGGAAAAGCCATAGAAGCAGGTTCTAGAAACAAGTCTGCTCTTCTGAAAATGCCTTATTTTTGACCTGAACAGAGTGCATACATACAAGAATTTTTTAGCAGGTTAATTTTTAGGTTAATTTTGGCATAGGACCTACTGTACCAAGTTTAACAGCTTAAGTCCATTAAGAGAACTAAGGAGAATAGACAATTGTATTTTCTTGCTTTCAGTTAATAGAGTCCCCAGGTTTGGGATATAAAGTCAGTTTCATAATCTTTTCATCAAATTGGATTTGTTTTTTGTATCTTTTAGCGTTTTGTATTTTTCCTGGCATCGCTATGAACATCAGGAATTCTGGCCATCACTAAAAGAATCTGATTACGATGCTGTGGGTCTGGGAAAAGGAAAAGGTTTTAACATAAATTTGCCTTGGAATAAGGTAAATGTTTACAGCACAAAAAAGCAGGTGTAATAGCTTTGTATCTTGCTCTTTAGGTAATACTTTCTGAGAAGTGCAGTGTTTCACTTGCTTGGCACATGTCTTAGCACAGTATATATCCTTCGTGTCAGTGGAATGTCTGCTGAAAAATAAGGCCCAGAATGTGATAATGTTTAAAAAAAAAAAAAAAAAAAAGAAGGAGAAAAACATAGAAAAACATACACATTAATTTTTTTTCTTGAATATCTTGCCTAGTCATCAAATCAGAAAGTGTTTCAGGAGGTGATTACACCCATCTTTGCTCAGCAGACAACTGAAGCTCATACTTAAGACTAAAAATGGTGGATATTTATGCACCATTTGCTTAAATGGAGTTTGTTTAACTTGACCTTATAGGGATCCCTTATCTTTAACTTTTGACACTATCTTTGCCTAAAGTCTTGAAGAACCTTAGAAAATTTTTAATTCCAACAGGAAAAGATGACCTGTATTTCTCATGTTTTGCAGGTTGGGATGGGAAATTCAGATTATCTTGCTGCGTTTTTCCATGTGTTGCTTCCAGCAGCTTTTGAGGTAATTTTTTACTGCTCTCCAAAACCAAAGGCTACTTCCTAAGTACTTCTTCAGCAGGTACCATGGAATATTTTGTAGAAATGCAGTAATTGTCAGTAGCACAGTTAACACATTATTTCTGCTGGTATGACTGATGTCCTGATCAACTGAATAGTATTTATGGAATGTTAGCTTTTAAATATTCAGTGTAATGATGTGCAACTTCTCCAGCAGGAATGAAAATAGTGTAAAAGGGTAGTCTTAGTTTCTATTCACAGAGTCTTTGTGTGTTCATATTGTAGCTGAAATAACAGCTGAATATGGTACAGCTGAAGTCCAGTACAAAATTGAAAATAGGACATAAGGATGTGTTACAACTCTCTCTGTTCTATAACAGTTTGATCCTGAGCTGGTTATTGTCTCCTCTGGATACGATTCTGGAATTGGAGACCCTGAAGTAAGTAACTTGTGGCCTTTGTGTTGTCAGTCATGAATCTGTTCCCAAAATATTCCTACCTCATAAATGTCCTGTGATTGCTAGATGAAATTCACTTTGACCAAGCTAAAAATACACATTTGAGTCTTTAAGCTGATCCCAGCTCATTCAGTACTACAGTGAAACATGTAAAGACAGTTTTTCCCATAGTTGTAATTGCTGTGTTGGGTTTTTGTACCTTTAAAGCAGTTGGTTCAGCATTTTGTTAGATACTATGAGAGGCAAGTGTCCCAATATTCCAATTCACTCATGTATATTTCAGATTGTATGGGGTTTATTTTAACCAGTGTTTTTGATTTAGGGTTTTATCTCTTCAATTTTTTTCTTTGATTTAGGGTCAGATGAATGCCACTCCTGAGGTTTTTGCCCACCTTACCCATTTCCTGATGCAGTTAGCTAATGGCAAGCTGTGTGTCATCCTAGAGGTAAAGAGTTTTGAAACGTAATCCCAGGGGAAGGGTCTTTGTTTTAGAGACACATAGGGCAAGCTAGAAGCTAGGAAGCAAAGCTTCTTAACAGAATAATTTATTCTTTTTATCCTCCTTTTGAAAATGAGGAATGCAAAAATGGGTAAGATTTGACAATGCTGTTATACATTAAAGGAAACACATGTCTTAAATGGGTATTTTTTTTTTAACTTAAAATTTTGAAAAGGAGAGGTATATGCTCATTGTTCAAAAAACCCCCATCCTGCACAGATATGTTCAGTTCTTGTGAACAGCAACTAATCTGCTGCTCTGGAAAGTCCCAAACTCATTAAAATGTAGGGAATACACTGCATTACCGATGTTTTTACAAGTATGTCTTATTCCAGGAGAGTTTTAAAAAAAATACTTTTAATCTCTATATACTCTTACTGAGTAATGGAGCCCTTGTTAAATTCCCTCATTTTTGATTAAAAGCCTTTATGCAAGCTCTTTTTTCAAAAGCTATTTGTTTATTTTTTAAAACAATTAAAAATGTTTCCTCCTTTTGAAATCTACATTTCAACTCCCTATTTCTGCTGCATGTTAGAAAAATGGTGGCTTTTCAGGTAAAGGATGTGGAAATATTACTGACAACAAAGTCTCAGAGTGAACTGCTTATTAATTGATTCACTTGACCTCTGTTTTGCATGACCTTTCTTCCATCATCCTTCTCTCCAGCAGGTTTTTATAGATATTTCTGTCTACTAGCTGAAGTGCAAATAAGCATCCCCTGATAATACATATGATGGGATTGCTCCACAGATGGTATGCAGGAAGCAATCTTTCATCTCTAATCTGGCAGTCTTAAATCTATCTTCAGTTGTTCTCCAAATTCTACCAAACCATTAGGACAACCATGTATTAAAAGTGTCAGGCTGTGGGAGATTTCCCTTTACTTTTTACATTTTAGAGGACAGTTACAGTATTTACCTTCTGAGGAATCTGCCCCAAGAATTGCTGAAGATGGCATATCATGGATAGGAATGGAAAAGGTGTATGTTTCCTGGATTTTCATGGCCAAGTCATGACTGATTTCTAAAATGAATTGAACCGTGATGTAGTGAGTTGAATCATGAGATGTCAGTGAAGTTCAGCAAGTAGCCTGTAACTTAACTGTTTTCATGTTGAAAAATCATTGACTTAGATGTACTTGCATTTTCCATCTCTGTAAATTCAGATATATTTCAGAAGTTTAATTTATTTTCCATGATGATATGCAGATAGGTGTTACAAGTACTTGTTTCTTAGGTGACAAAATACTTTTTTCTAGGGTGGATACCACTTAAAGTCATTGTCTGAATCAGTCTGCATGACTGTAAAAACTTTGCTTGGAGATCCTGTACCTCAAATAACAGGAGAAATGGCACCTTCCCTAAGGTAAGCATATGAAGAGTTTTAGAACAACCTATGTATTTATCAGAGACAAAAGACATACATTTTTGGTTTTGCTTTTTCATTGAGGTAAGTTACATTTCCTATATTTTCATTAGTGCTGATACTGTCAATCCTGTTTCTTTTGTAGTGCTGTTGAATCTATTCAAAATGTGAGAGCAGCACATAAACCGTACTGGAAGTGGTTGATGTACGAAGGTAATTACTCTTTTCTTCCTTCAAGCAAATGTGATTGGTAAATGGATTCATACAGAAATTAAAAATGATTAATCTTAATACCAGTGGCTTAAAATAATTGAACTATTCATTAAGTGACTAATGAAGCAGTGTGAGGTTTCATTCAAGGACATGTCTTCAGCTGGTCTTAAAAGAACTTCTGAAGCTGGCAAACGTCACCCCAAAAAGTAGCAATTTGATATCTTTGGTGATGCTGTTTTCTGTGTCAAAAACATGGGCATAACATTTTTTTATCATTTATGACCTTTTGCTAGATTAAGACAAATGTAGCAGCACTGCAGAAGAACATCTGTGGCAAGAAACATTGTAGCTAGTGCATGGAAAGAAATATGCATACTATGAATACAGATGTACTCTGTTTTGTAAATAAACGTAACCAAGTATTAACATGCTGCTCAGGACTTAATATATGTGAAAACCCTCTTTTTTTTTCTTCCCCCTCTAGACACATCATTTTTACAAAATTTGAGCACCAAATCGCACCTACTAAAGAAGACTGATGCAAGTACCTTCACAGAACATGAATCTAAGATAGCTAGCGATGATGAAACTGTCAGAGTAGAAAGGTTTTTGGAACTGCACATGAAAAATATTCTATTTTCGGTGCCCCCCATCAGAACAGCAACAGCTGACTCTGGAGGCTCAGCACTTTTGCTCCCTGTACCTGTTCATTTGGTGAAGGAAATTGACAAAACTGAAATAAAAGCTCTTGTCAGGTTGGTCCCATCTATTTAATTTTCAACATAATTATGAGGCTGAGAGGTCTTTGTACACACTGTCATCTAGTTCTGTCTCTGCCATGGTCATCTTTTTGGTCTTAGTCTACTCAATTATAGCCAGACTTTCTTCATTTGAAAAATGAAGACATTGGTGTTGGTTATCACTCATAGCCTTGAAGTCCTTCAAAGAACTAATCAGAATACTTTTAGAAAAAACTATTTCAATGGAGATAGAAGAGTTAGTGCAGATGTATTAATTTAGAGATTTTGTTGGGAAGGTGCCTTAAAGCTCTGTGTTCACTTTTAGCTGAAAAAAATACAAGAGTGATCTGATTTGAGAAGCTCAACTTTTTGTCTTGGTCCAATTTTGACAGAACTGTATTTCCTTAATATTGTCAGACATTTTTGTTTTCTTACCGGTGCAGATAGACACAGGTTTAGAGAGCTCAAGGCTGTCAGGCAACAGTGTTGTCATATTCCTGCTAGAGCCAGGTTTTTGAGATTCAATGTATAGCACCTGTACAAAATGTACCCCATCACTACTACCTGCAAAGTACCGTATCAGTGTCCTCTTTGAAAGCATGATTGCCTCTAACCTAGTTTTTCTTCATATAATTTATTTTACAGTTGCTTTTATGCAGACCTTGTGAAAGAGGACAAAACTTTGCTCTCTCTTGGCAGTATGTTGGCCATCCTAGATAAAATACTTAAGAAGGAGGTAATAATAAACAGCTTTGAGGGTGGGGGGAGAGTTGGATTTCTCCGATTTCTGCTTCTACTATATTATTGTCCAGATATTAGTTACTGTGTAGTTCACGACTCCACTTATCTCAGCTAGAATATACTTAGCTATCAGAGTGAGTATGCAAGATGAGAAAACAACTGTTTAGGGATAGTTGTTAGCCCCAAGACATCTTTCTAATGATCTTTGGGCAAGATGTGCAGCTTTTCTGTAGTCACAGCATAGGAGTCAGTCAGAACCTTCTCATCACTCTCAGGCATACAGATGAGCCAGGCATTCACTCTTCCAGTTGAGGTGAGCAGAAGTTGGTGTATCAAGCACCAGTGAACAAGAAATCTGAACAAGAAATGTAAAAAATTTTCCTTCCTTGGTTCACAAGAGTTTTGCCTTCTGTCTTTAGGAGAGAGCTTACTTCTGCATTTCTCTTCATTACAAGATGCAATGCTGTGTGCAGCTGCAGCCACTTACCATTATTTGTACAACAGTTTACTCAGAGTAAATTTTAATTTACACATACCCACACACCCCCCCCCCCCCTTTAGTGGAGCTTTTCAAAACACCACTGTATGCTGTGTTTATGAACATTAATTCCAGTTCAGCATTTTGATGCTTGCAGGGTTAGGAATGAAAAGAAAGCAGACGTGCAGAGCTCATGTCTATGTATAAAAACTTGGAGAAGCAAAGAGAAAAAAATGTAAACAAGTTAAGAATATTACATCATTATAAATCAGTCTCTCCCTTTGTATGAAAAGGTGTCTTCAAAGTACCAGGCTTTTGAGGAAAAGTAACTGTCAGAATGGCCTCTTTTCTTGTAAGCCACCTTCTTGCTGTTGGAAGTCATGTGTGTAGATTTGGGGACAAATTCGTAACATTATTGACTGTACATACCTTTAGAGGATCCTATAAATAGATCAAAAAAAACAGTAACTGGCAAAAAGAAATAGAACTTTTCGTGAGTTACCGATGCTAGGCTGAGCTTTTTGTGTTGGAAAATACAAAGGAGGAGTGAGGGAGAGTGTGTATTATCTTTTTGCTTAGCTTTGATGTAGAGTTCAAAGCACTACACAACACAAAACAGTGAAATGTTGACTGAGTAATACTGTCAGTGTATTTTCCAGAAAGGAATAGCTTGCCTAGGTTAAACGAAGAGTCAGAATTCAGAGACAACCTCCTTTTCATAGGATGTATTTTTCTGGTGCACTTTGCCTACTGGCACACTGAGTGTATCCTCTGCAGACTAGAGAACCAGTAAAGATGGCCTTCCCCTGCAAAAGCTATTGTTACAGTTGCCTTTCAGCATAGCACCATACTTCTGAAGTAACAGAACAGCTCTTGGCATAATAATCAAATATGTCCTTTCTGTAGAAAATTGATTAATAACATTTTCTTAACCCTAATATGATAGCTAAATAAGATCGCTTTCATACAGCTGTAGCTCTTTTTCAATGACAAGTAAAAATGCAGTTGTTACAAATTAAAAAATGACACCATCTTGTGCAGCATTAATTACTTCTGAATGAAAAATATATTTTGCAGGTATGCAATGGAATTGCAGAATCATCCACAGCTGCTGCTTCTGTTGCAGTTGCACTAAGACATTATGTTCGTTTGGGATTTCAAAGGTGAATTTGTATCTTTTGCATTTGGGGCCCTTTGACAAAATGTAAACAAATAACTAAGTGTGTGTGAAATATGGCAAATTGCCTTTAAAGCCTTAATTTTAAAACAAATACCATCTCCGCATGCATAGCCTTTTCAGTATGTAGTACAGACAATATTGTATATGCCAGCAAAAACCTTTTGCCTTACCAAGGGCAAAAATGTTTGTAAGGATGACTGCTGTGCTAGCCTACACTTTCTTTGTCAGATTTTGATTGTCTCTGGCCTGAGGACATTTTCTTGGTTTTGTTTTTTTCCCCCCAGTATTTGGTGAGAGAAAAGGTGATCCCCTGGGCTGTCATAAATGTGTTTCCTTTATACTTTTAATGGACCAAATTCAGAAACAATATACATTATTTTTTATGCCTCTAATCTGCATGCAAACTCTTTAAACAAATCCCACTAATTGAAAAAAAAATGTACTTCTAGATGCAAATGTATGTATATTTTTGTTTTCTGCAGGGTGCTTTGTATATTTGTTGGAGACATGCAAATCGTACCGAACACAGATGATGGGTGAGGTTTCTCTTTACTTCAGGGAGTCAAATCCCAGAGGCTTTATAAATGTTCGTAAGTGTCCATATGTATGATGAAACCTGCACTAAGGAATCAGTCATGAGCTGATGTTCATTAAGTTTACCTTGAGACAAAATACAAAACATCCCCAGATGTATCTCTAAAAACAAACTGCAATCTCTAAATGCCACTTTATGAGTTTAGTGGTAGGTTTAAAGTATAATCCTTCTTCATCAATTGAAATTTAGTTTGTAACTGAAAATAGAATGTAATAAACAAGGCAATTATTAATTATATAAGGTGTACCCCCCTGTAACTGCAGGTGGCACATACTGCTGATGCTGAATTCATTATTGAAAGTCATCTTTACTTATTTATAACTTTTTTTACCATTTCCCCTTTTTCTTAAAAGTAATTTGCCCATAGACTTTAATACTCTGTTGAAAAAAATCTTAAAAAGGATTTCAGTTTTAATTGGTGTTTACATGGCATGTAGTATTGCAAGCAGTTACGTGCTCCTGTGTTGTGAATTAGTATTTCAAGAATTATGAAAGAAAATATCTTTTTATCTCATTAGAAGTTGGTGGTTAAATACTCAGATGTGTTTTTTATTTACAGAAAAATACTCATGATACATATTTGTGAAAAAGAAGAGTCTGGAAGGACCAGCTCCAAACACTATATTTCTCTAAACTGGAAAGAGGTAAGATTCACTTTCTGGAAAAAAATGTAAGAGAAAAACTTTTTTAACAGAAATAATAGAATATATTTACAAAATCATAAAATGACACTGAGAATTACACCTCTCACTGAAATGTGGACCTTTGACAATACTTTATTTTCTTGTCCTTGCCAGGGTACTACTCCTTCACAGATCTTTAGAGTGCATTAGACTGCATAGGTTTGAGGAAACCTTTAGTAGGTACTGTAGTTCACCTTCAGGAAGGCAGAGTTACAGTGCAGAAACACTAAGTAAAAAATTAATAATCTACATATTTAAAAATTACAGTGAAAATGGATCAGTATCCTGTTTCTTAGGTCAATCAAAAGCTTTTTGAGATTCACCTCCCTGCTTTGGTTTATATCTGGGAATGTGGGGCTTTACATTTGTGCTAAACAGTTTCTCATTGTTGTTAAAGGATGCTGAAGGAAATGACTTCTTTTCTGCTGTACTTGGATTCATTCTTCCTGTAGCATATAGTTATCAACCGAACTTGACAGTAATAGCTGTTGGACCAAACAGGAGCCTTGGAATAAGTGGGATTTCTCTGCTTTTTTCTTTACTACAAGGATTAGCCGAGTCCCGAATTTTTGCAGTGATTGAGGTAAGAAGTAGTGCCAAGCTGTGGTACTTGAGAGTGCTTAGGACATAACTCAAATCAAGCAGCAGCATGCTTGGTATGAACTGTTTCAAGCTGCCAAGTAGAAAATATTGGCTGCATCTATACTGTCTTTGGTACCCCTAAGTTCATGGCACAAATAGCCCAAGTTTCTTTCTGTCCTGAGAACAAGACAAGACACAGATACATACAGAGCTGTAGGCAGCCCACATGATTGAGAAGCTTGAGGCATGAGTGCAAGCCCATGGTTATGTCTATAGACAGTGGATATTGTGACAATTTGCCACAACTTCCCTTTCCACCTGGGATTCACAGCTCAGAGTTGTCTCCTGAAGAGAAACACTCCTTGTCTGTTAATTATATGGCCTCTTCCCATCAAATGTGATTGAAAGCAGACCACTGTCCTGTTTATCATAAAACACTACATTTTTTTCTCCTTCTCTCCCCCATGCTGTATGTTACCACACACAGCTTCCATCATGGGGAAGATAAATCAAAATGGCACATACCCTTTAAGTGAACTTAATTGTGATAATACATAACTGGGTCCGGTCTACCCCAGCTTTGTGTTTCTGGTAGAGAGTGTGGGAAAGGAAATGAATCTGTGGATCTTTCCCTAGTCTAGTTTTTCCACACACTGCCACATGAAGGATTTCTAAATTCAGGAAGTCAGAGGCTGTATCCAGGCCAGGGTGCGGTAAGTGCCAGTGAGCGCATGAATTTGCCTAATCTCTTAAAGAACTCCGTTTACACTCTTGGGCTCTGCAGCATCCTGTGGCTTTGAGTAACACAATTTCTCTGTGTGTTCTGTGAGACAGTAACTTTTGATTTCTTTGTTCCTTCTTTAATGAGAAACAATGAATAATTGTTCACATACGCTTATTCTAATCTGTTCCCCAGCAAGTATCCAATTAAAGATATACTATTCATTAGGCTGTCAGTTAAGTGGATTTTGACATACTTTATTCTGCAGTCCTCTCAAATGTTGTTTTAATTTACAGTGCTGATAGGTAAATTATCTAAGCTAAAATATTTTGTACATTGATATGCAGTATACATAAATGGTGTATTTGCACATTACTAATTAGGGGCAGCAAATGGGAAGAATTACTGATATTCTGAAAGATAAACTCACAGATAAAAAGGAAGTTAGAATACAGCTTTAAAAAATTACTGATACGTTTCTATAGGTACGCTGCCAGTAGCTCCGTAACAGGATTGTGTAATGTGTGGGCATCTTCTAATGCATGTACTTGGCTTTTTAGAATAATTGAAAAAATACTTCTATCTCTTAAAATAGTTACAGTCTTCCAAATAAATGTTAATAATCTTCCTATACTATCACATTTCAGAATATAATTCTGTGAGCAAATGATACTGATTTAGACTGTCAGGGGTTCAAAAAAAGTTACTTCTTGATGAAGCAAAATGTATCACTGTTTTCTACTGATAGAAAGTAAATGATGCATGAAGTAAACAAGCTCCATGCTCTCCTCTTCTCTCCTAACATTTTCTACTTTTAACCCAGCATTATTTCTTTTCAATCACAAAAGAAAAACTGAGATTCTTTTTCTGTCTGAAAAGTAGTAAGTTTTACAGGAGATAAAAATTAATTTACCCTTTTTAGAAAAAAAATCCCCATTTTGGCACGTTTTTACTTGAAAGTAGCAAGAATGAGCAACTTTCAATTAATACTACTAACTTAATTACATAAGCTGTTTTTTAAATATTTCATGTATTACTGAGACAAAGTTTGGTTCCCAGGAGTACTTTTTTTTTTTCTTCTTAAATAGGACAAAGACACAAATTTATTGCAAAGTATAGCCAAAATATTAGTGGGTGCTTCTATACCTAACTTTGGAGTTTATGTGCCTCCTACTCAAGAAAAAGTAAATAAAATAAAAAGATTAAGAGACCAGTTTCAGCAGCAATGGAAAATGCTTCAGTGTTCAGGTAAGTTGCCTATTTTTATCTTAAGTTCTTACTAGAAACTTATATGCAAGTTTCTGAAAAGATTATATAATACAGATGGATCCTATAAGTCAGCGGGATATTAAAATCATTGGGAGCACATTGATCTAATGTGAAAAGGATGAAACTCAGAATGCTTGTAATTCTGCCACTTGAGCCAGAAAGCACTGAATGTCATAGCATAAAAACTGTACCCGTGGGAACTTGAGATAGTTACTCCAAAATTTTGAAGTGAAACTATCAAAATATTATGTGCTTAAAGAATAGTTAATAAGATGTGCACAGGCTCTTATTGCTAACGTGTTTTCTAAATATTGTGCCAGATCAGGTGACACACATTTAACTTGTTCACAAAGAACTTCAGTTAACAGCGCTTAGTCATTCTTAAAATACATTCACAAATAGCTGAGGATTGGGTACTGCGTTTGTACAGGAGTCAGGTTAGGCAGGTAAGTATGTTTTCAAGCATACTTGTCTAGAAACATTACTGAATATCTTCTGGTTTTCAACAGAAAAAGCAATGATAAAGGTGGGCATGTTTCTCTGAGAGAAAATGCCCTGCTCTTTTTCAGAAGAAATGGCCAAGAGCAATGGTCTGGTTCCAATAAGAATGTTCTTACGGGGTTGGGATTGTGGTATGACCTTGATTAATGACGTTTATTTCTTATTGCTGTTCTTTTCAGTGAAGGATGAGATTTAAAGACATTAACTTCACTTTGGAATCATTTTACACAGCAGAAGAAAATGTGTTGCTGATCACGTTGCCTTTTAAATCATCAGGAAAAGAGATGGTCAATCTCTAAACAGAATGAGTCATTTATAATTGTCTTCTGTTTTTAAAATACTTAAAATCCATGTTATCAGCTAGAGAATTGTGCTTGCAAATTCTATATTGGCACTAATTATTCAAGACTGACACTTGAAAACAGCTGCTGTACTTCATAACTGCAAATTGGGGCCTGTGTAATTTGTGACATTGTAAAGTCAGGTTTGTGTATCTAGGAGCTTGACTTCAAGTCCAGAAGACAGGCAACTGAAATGAGCAATCAAAATAGCCAAAACATTTTAATAGTCTTCAACATAACACCAGCGTGTTTGCACTACTGCCACTACCACCATTTTTCTGGGAGTTTCAACTTGATGACAGGCCCTTCAAATTAATGAAGTTTCATTTCATAATCTGATTTAAAGGATTCACCTAACATGGTCTATTCTTTTAATTTTTCTAATGAGTAGTTGTCAATCGCAAAAAGAAAAGCAGCTGAACAGCTATAGTGTGTGCATTTCCTAACTGTGATGATTTAATTTCTTGAACTGTGCAGGGCATGAGAGAAAAAAAGAAAAATATTTTGCATATAGAAAATTACAAATACATAATTGAATAAAGCAGTGTAAAGAGGACTTCACGCTGCCCTGCAGAGTTTTTCAAAGGTAAATTGTCTATGTAACAAATAAAAACTCCCAAACCCCAAGAGATTTGATAGTGGCCTAAGGCTGTAATCGTGTGAATTCTCAAAATTAAATAAACATCTTGAGTCAATTAGCATGCTTTGTTTTACAGCGTTCAGATATGATTTAGGGCTCACTTTCAGGAGCACAGCTCTGTGATTGTGACTTCAGTAATGTGACCTTTTGATTTCAAACACTTCAAATTATGTTTATAGTGGTGTTGTTAGTGGGATCAACTTTACATTATTTTAATAAATAACTCCATCTTTGCAATTGTCTTAACTGTTCCCCATGATTTCCTTCTCACCCAGACTTGGTTTTCAGCTACTGCTGGATGGGAAATGATACCCAATCCTTGTATGTTTTGCAATTAAATTCTATTTCAAAAGAAATTAAAAGCCATGTCAGACATTTTCACAAACAAAAGTTGAAGAGCACAAAGATGTTCTGTTTCAGTTCAAAATTTCTTTAAACTGAACTTCAACCTCCAAAAGTATTTCCTTTAGATTGGGAACTGGGCAATGGCCAAACTTTAGCTTCAAAATGTTTCAGAACAGGCGATGTTGGTTTATTCTCTCTGCCCTAGAACACAACAACAAAAAAAAACACCCCTTTTTTTTTTTTTTTTAAATCATTTTCAAGGAAAAAGCATTTTCTCAAAAATACCTCAGTTCCTTCCCTTTTACCTGCCTTTGTTCAACTGAATTTCTACAGCCAGTAATTCAAATACTGATCCCAATGTTGTATTTCGGTCTGTATTTTTCTAAGATCTCGATCAAATTTATTAAAACATGAATTAAGAGAGGAAAATGCGTGCTCAGGGTAGAATTAGTTTGCAAGTACTGTCAGAAGACCGCAGTTACCGCCTGCGCAACGGGACGCACACCACAGGGATGGCTTATTGCTCTCCTGCACTGGCGCGCTGCTCTTTGCAAATTGACAACGTTAAGTACCGCGGGAACGGCGCGTACCCCGGCGGTTAGGCCCCTCTGTGCTAACGGGGGGCGGCGACGCGGCCTTCCCACAGCGGGGCTGCGGGGGCCCGCGGGCCTCGGTGCCGCGGCCGGGGCAAACCCCCGCCTCGCCCCGCGCTCCGCCCCAGCGCGCGGGGCCGGGCGGCGGCCAATCCCAAACCCGGGGCCCGTCGCGCTCGCGTGACGTCGGCGGCCCGCGCGGAGGGAAGGAGGCGGCCGCGGCGCCCCGCCGCCGCCCGCCCCGGGGGAGGCCGCCGCAGGTACGGCGGGGGGTCGGGGGGGCCCCGCGGGGTGCGGGCGTTACGCGGGGGGCGAGCGAGGAGCAGGCGGGCACGCGTTTCCCCGGGGGTGGGAGGGGCGGGTACGGCTTCATCCTCCGGGGAAGCCCCCGCCGCCGGGAGCTCCTCCGGGGTGGTGCTGCTCCCCCCCCCGCGCCTTTTCGGGGAACGGGGGCGCTTCGGAGCGCCCTGGGGATGGCCCCCACTACCCGCATCACCCCCTCGGCGCGGCCCCGGGGCTTCTGCCGAGGGCACCGCGCAGCTGGGAGGGAGGTGGCGGACCCCTCCTGAGGAAAACCGGCGTGGTAAAGGTTTTGAAGGTGTTCCCACGTGAATCACGTATTAGATCAGGGCAGGCATCTGTTCTATTTTAGTCTGCCGAGCAAGATCAGGTGTCTGGAATTAAGCTTGCACCACCATCACTTTGCTTGTGATCAAAGTCATAGTGTTATTTTTATAGCTCGTGTCCTAAATATGTGCAAGGTCGGTTGTTTTCTCCCTCGTTTTGGGCTCAGTTTAAGTAAAAGCGTACTCATCACATTATGCATCATACTCTCGTGCATGTTATGAGCGTTTCTTCCTTTTCCTGATATTTTTCAGGTCTTCGGATGAAACCAGAGACCCAGAGTGTAGCTGCTTTATCTGACAATTGCATTTGAAATGGAGAGCATTACACAGTTGTTCAATGATTTGTGTGAAGCGCACTTGACAGGTTTGCCATGGAAAGACCACCTGGGTAGGCAGAAGATCAGCAAGAGAAGGGCTAAGCAAAATCTGAAAAGGGTTGCTTATAATGCCCTGTTCATAAACCTTTTTCAAGATGAGGCTCGTAAGCTGCAATCAAATGTTTCCAGGCTTCCAGTGAAAAACAAAATTTTGATGCTGTCTTTCAACTTGAGAGTTGGTGGCCTAGGTGCTCAAGCAGATAGACTGGAGAATCTTGTGGAGGAACTGGAAACAGCTCAGTGCTTACCGTTTACTGAAGTTAATTCTGTCTTGGATCTTTTAGTACAGCTTGCTGGAACAGGTCCTCCTCAGCTGGTACCACAAAAAAAGGACTATTTTCTGAACAACAAATATGTTGGGAGAAATGTCAAATACCAGGGTTATGATTATTATGATGTAAGTGTATTTGAGGCTGATATACAGTCTCTAATAACGAACGAAGAATGTCAGTTCAATGACACCATTCAAAAGACGCTTCAGATAATGGAGGCTGCACCTGGCACTGGTCTCCCTGCCATAGGGTTGTTCTCACAGAACTGTCCTGCTGGTGACAAGTTTGAGAAAGAAACGCGGGTCTCGCTCTTCAGTGCTCTTGTCCATAGCCGTACGTATGATATGGACATCAAGTTGGATTTACCACCGGTGCCTGACAATGCAGATTTGTCTGGACTTGCAATTAAAGTATGATATCGTTTGTTTTGGACTTAAGAGTGTGTGCATGCTTTCGTTATGACACTTTGAAAGTACAGTTTAAAATACAGGTAGTCATTAAGATGAAGCAGGGTTCCTTTTCTTTGCTGAGAACCAGATAAGCTTTTTGAATAGAGATGTACGATAATGAAAACCTTGGTCTTGTCCTATATCTGTAAAAAAAAACATCATGTGGCCATAGGCTTTATGAAGTTAAGCCATCAGCTATATCTGTGCCTTCCCTACCTTAATAAGCTTTTGTTTGCATTTTTGCCTGCTTTGTATATTGAATTCATTTGCATTGTTGCTTACTTGTTACTGTTCCGCCTACCTGCATAAGCATTCCTGTCTGAATGTATGTGTTTTGCTGTTCAGATTACATTACATAACTTGTATTTTCTTCTTGTCTTGTATCTTAAAAGATTTTTTTCAGTTATTATATTTCATTGGACCTCCTAGTTCCCACCGTCCTTTTTTACCTTTTCAGTATGTACAGTTTCTACTGTATCTTTTTTCCCCTTTTGCTGTCCATTCTGTTTATTTTTGATGTGTTTTCTTCTCATAGAGGTACTAGAGAAACTTGTTGGTTTTTTTTTTTTTCTTTCTTTCCATTTTTACTGTGTGTGGGTAGTTTTTTTTGTACTTCTGTACTTTTAATCCTCATTTTGCAATTCCCTTAACTCAGAGTCTTAATTGAAACTTGAAGGCAGACACGTTAAAAAAGAAAATCCCTGTGCTATTCAGTGTGCATGTATGAAAGTAAGTCATAACTGAGGGGAGGCAGAACCCTTTTGAGTAAGTGCTGTACTCTTTCCATCAGACTGGAAAATTTGCAATTTCTTGAACATGCTGCCTTCTATGCGGGTGTGATTGTCTTTTACTAAAATTGAGTACTATTCTGCACATACAACTGCTGTTGAGTGGGAGTTGAGGATGTGGCATATATACTGTTTGGACACCTGCAGATTTTCTGCATATGAATAAGCATAAGGGAGCAAACTATGTTAGTCACAGTTAAGAAAATGTTTGCAAATTTGAAAAACTAGGGCCTGGATCATTTGCTCAAATGAAATACTGAGCAGTATGATTTCATTAGTGTTACGTATTGTTGAATATCCAGCCCTCACATTCTCAATTTGTGGAAGTACATGCTTACCAAAGGAGTAAGTTTCAAGTTTAACACCAACAAACTTAGTATATTACTTTGGTGATGATCGTTGCTTTATATGTAGCATTAATATCCCTAGAGACTTACCAAATTAAAAGAGTGCTTACAGGAAAAATTTAAAATAGATATAAAGGGAGGGTGGATGGCAGAGATTATGTAGAGTCACTTGATCACAAATGATAGCAGAACATCTTCTTTATTAGCACATGTTTCTTCAGGAAAACATTTTCATGTATAACATTTGAACTCTCTCTGACAGGTTCCCCAAAGTATAGACCAGTCAGAAGATGAGGGATTCCAGTCAGCATCCAATCTGACTCCTGATTCTCAGTCAGAGCCGAGCATGACTCCAGACATAGACTTGTGGGATGTGGTGCTTACATATGGACCCAGCAAACGGAGATGTTGGGAAAGGATTGGATAGTATGTGTCTGATGTTACTGGCAAACTTACTATGCGTCATATGCGAATGTATGAAGGTGCATTTCATCTTAGTTCCAAATTACCTCAGTATAAAATAGTGAAATGTGCATATTTCACGCAATTCAATGTACTGTATTAATGGTTGAGAAAAGAACAAAGCTCATGCAGTTTCAACAAGCTACTTAGATTGCAGCTGTTTCATAGGAAGAGATAAAACAAAATCATCTTTGCCAAATCCCACTGAAGGGATTATGGGAACACTTGCTGTTAGTGTGAAATGCAACATTTTTCTAACTCATCAGACTTCTTATGCACGATGCAGTTTATCACAGTCTAAAATGATCCATATTTTCAAAAGAGAAAGTGGTAGTTGTAGGGGACTGCAATACTGAAACCCATATCTCTCAGTATGGTAGAGTATTTTATTCCTTTTCACTGTAACCAAAACAAATTATTTTAACAGATTTCTTGGTGGTGTAGTTAGGCTTGTAGTTCTTTTGGCTGTTGAGTAGAAGTTCCATCTCCTGAGAGAAGGCTCTATGTAGTACTGTTAAAGCCTCCTAACTTCCTTAAAGTGGAAGACAAAAAAAAATGCAGGTATGACCGGTATCTTCCTTACATTCCTGATGGACAGTGGTGTGCCTGATTCTTGGAGAAACTTTGTATGTTTTCTGTAACTTTAAGTAATAATCTGGTGCTGTGTCTGTTGCAGTGTTATGCAGTATTTTTTCAGCTCTGAGCCTGAGAAGCTCAGAAACTCAGAAGTTCCCTGACTGGATTTTTCAAAGCTGCTGTAGCACACTCTAGCTTTGTTCCTAATACAAGACAGTTTTTC